CCGGTGTCATGACGATGTCTATGAAGAAGAGCCTACATTTAAACTGATAAAATGTGTTTATTGGTAACATTTTTGCATTTTTCGCTCTTTCCGAGTTTTATTTTTTGTTTTTTTAAGAAAAATTTTGATATATATTTTATCCAATAATATCTTATCTCTTTTTTTTCAGCAACACTCGAAATGGTTAGTGAAATGTGTGGATTCGATGGATTCGCTATCTCCGCTAGACCTCATTACACTCTCACGACTTTCATCACAAGTGAACAAACATGTGTTGCTTGCAATTGTTTCACCCGACTCCCTTTCCCCGTACTACATTGAATATTCTTGGTGGAGACCCCAGCAATCGCAGCAGCAATAAGTTCGCATAAAACTGATAAACCGATTGTAGCATCCAAGTTTACCCTGTAAAGCCTAAATGGCGAAGGCACGATAGATTACAGCATGAACGAACAGTATATGAGAAAAGAGGGCAAGAACGAGATAAGACGTTTCGGTCCATTAAGTCATATACGCCTTAACACCGCGCCGACTGGGCCTTGTCAGTATGACGGTCGCAGTGCTTAATGGGAAAGAAGAAAAAAGAAGGAAAGGGAAAAGCTATGATTGTGGGATTACCGGGAGTAACTGATTTATCAGTAGAGAGATAACATTATTTTGCATAATTGTAACTGAAGAAAAGGCATATTTAAGCAGAGCCCTCTTCGTGTCCGAAGCATGTGATTTATAATCTGAACTGATAGTGCTCTCAAATATTCTAGGTGTAGCGATTTATCTCTTGTGAGTCATCGTCCTTTCTACGACTCGTTAGCTTTTTAAAACACGGGTATGTAGGTTTTTAAAAGGCATGGGTGTGGAGGGGTTTTTTTTTTTGAATTATTTTAGATGTGTAGATTTTTGTTTGGATTATAAATTTTTGTGTAATTTTCGTTGAAAATGCGACTGAAGTTTTCAGACGCGTAAGTTTGTTGTAGATTATGGAACTTTTGTTTACCAGAAATCTGCTTATTTTAATGAAAATTTTGTTTCGCTGTTGTTTTATGTAAGTTGTTAATAAAAATTTTGAAATAACCTGGTATGCGCGTTTTCGTGAATGCATGTTGCTGTAGAAAAATACACTGGAGCTATATTTTCTGTGAAAATAATTTCATAATTTCTTCTGTGAATTGAATTTGTTTAGCAAAAATAATTTTGTAATTTCAGTTTTCTCAGATTTCGTCGTTTTTTTTTTGAACTTATAGTTTCAATAAAAATAATTTTTTAATTGAAATTACAGGTCGGTTTTGTGCTGAAAGTAGATATTGCGTCTTCAAAATGGTAAGTTATTTTTTTTATCAAAATAATTTTTATGGCTCGTATTTTTTTTTTTCTAATGGTGTTTTTGTCCATGATTTGGAATTGTCTAAGTTCGGGGCAAAGTTTTAATTGCTTCTCATACGCCAAGGATATTTTGAAAGGAAGCATATTTGAGCTTTTTGAATATTCCTAGAATAGCGTATTTGAACTTTTTGAATATTCCTAGAATAGCATATATAAACTTTTTGAATATTCCCGGAATAGCATATTTGGACTTTTTAAACATTCCTGGAATATGATATTCCCAGGTGCTTCTGCCAGGAAAATTTTTGAGCTGCTTATCTCAGGAGGCAAATTTGACATCAGTAGATCGCCACTGTAGTGACCAGCAAATGATGTAGCACTGGGTAAAGCAGCTGGCAGAATTATTAGCCTAAGGAATTAGGCTGTGAAGTACAGCTAATCTAAGCATATATTTTTATAATCATGTAATTTCATTTTGCGCTTCTTGGCTTTGCTAGTGCAGCTAGCAGCGTTTCAGGATTTTGCCCTAGAACTTCTTTTCATATAATTATAGTGGTAACGGTAAGAAATGTATACGACTTAATTGTCCGAAACATTTCTTACCTATTACAAATATTTCCATAGTCCCCTTTCCTCTTCTTATTTCGCTTTTTCTTCGTTTTCTTCCCTTCATGTCCCTTTCCCCTTCTTATTTCGCTTTTTCTTCGTTTTCTTCCCTTCATCTTTTCTATAATTTTCTCTTTATTCTTTAATACGTATAGTCCGTTGTGCGTTCTTCGTTTCTTATCATCCCCAGATTGTTTTGCGTTATGTGGTGGCCAAAAAACTGAACTTTCGCAAGACGTTTTTCCAACCATCGTGAAAGTTTGGTACATTAAATAATCTTTTCCGTTCTGTATCACTCAAGAAATAATTTATTTTCATTATTTTATAACAAAGATGCCAGTCCCTGACATAGTTTTCGACAATGTCTTTTTTTCATTTTGTAGCTGGTTTAAATAGAAAATTTTTAATTATAGTGTAATCTTTCAAAATTTCATCGCAAAATTACCGATACGGGAATTTCTAATATTAAGGGTATTTTTTTTTCAGTTGTTTTATTCATTTTTCAAATCGCTGATTGGAAAAGATGTGGTCGTCGAACTCAAAAATGATTTAAGGTAAATTGAGGTTTCTTTTTTTCAGCTTTAATGTTAAATGTTAGACTGTAATATCGTGTCCAGGATTACCGTGAAGAATTGCTAATTGATGCTTTTGCACCACAATTGTTTTAGAAATTTTAAAGATACAAACAATGAATATCCCCGGCTAGGAGAATAAAAGAAGATGAGGGCCTGAAACCTTCTATGTGTTAAAATACGCCGTTTATTTGACGCTGTTGGCCCATCGTGGCGAGGAACACAATCGAATTTTGATAGTCAGCGAAAAACTCTCGATGGTTATCCATAATTTTCGATGGTAATCTTCAGAAGCATTAATTTTTTTAGTATTTGCGGTACACTGCATTCAGTGGATCAATATCTGAATATGAAATTAACCGATATCTCAGTGACCGATTCGGAACGACACCCACACATGCTCTCCGTTAAAAATTGCTTCATTCGTGGATCAGTGGTACGATATGTGCAATTGCCAGCTGATCAGGTTGACACACAGTTGCTACAGGATGCAAGCCGACGAGAAGTGATGCAGGCTAAACGATCCTCAGCAACAGCAACAACCACAGCGACGACCACGTAGCATACTGAAATAAGATTTGAAGAATCTGTCTGTTTTGTTATGTTTGTCGTTTTCAGAACTGTTATGATACCAAAACAGCTTTTTTTTTTCTGTGCCCTTGGCAAGTAAAAATAATTGGCCAACGCACGAGCTGCCCATGCGAAGATGCGTTTTTTGCATTGCTCTCCGCAGATTTTTGTCGCTAACGGCACTGGTTTTTCTGGCAGATGCTTCTAGCTAAAAGAATTTCAGATTGGCTACCAGGGCTGTCAAGAAACATCCCTTCAAAATCCCACTCTTCTGGCTTCTCACTTTCCCGAGTTAGCGAATTACCCGGAAGAAACTTTCATGGGCCTATACGTAGGTACCACGCTTACCCGGGGGATGAGTTTGAGTGCATTAATACCTAGTTGGACGGGGAATATTCCCCTAAGATTTCAGCGTCCTAGCTTCCCAGATCCCCGAGTTATGAACTGACCCGAAAAAACTTTTGGTGGGCCCCGTACGCGGGTGCCACGCTTACTCGGGGGATGAGATTAAGTGCATTAATACCTAGTTGGACGGGGAACATTCCCCTAAGATTTCAGCGTTTTAGCTTCTCAGATCCACGAGTTATGAACTTACCCCAAAAAAACTTTGGCGGGCCCGTACGCGGGTACCACGCGGGTGTTGGCGCCCATGTTGAGAATT